GGGGGGGGGGGGGGGGGGGAGAGACACTTAATTAATTTTGGGGCTGAGGACTATTCCTCTTCTGGAATTGAACCGGAGGCCTCTGGAGCCTAATGCATGAGCCTCTACCACTTGAGCTAAAACTAGCTGGCTGCTAGGTAAGGCTGTAGCACACGCTTATTATTCTCCGTAAGTGGTCTCAGTACCATTAGATGACAGCGTGCACCACACCAAGCAAGTAAAAAAAACAGCAAGCAAATGGTCTGATAGCACTTTATAGACTAACAAAACATGTAGATGGTAGCATGAGCTTTCGTGGGCACAGCCCACTTCCTCAGATGACCGGAGTTATGATTAAAGGATAAGGAAACTCGAAATAAATAGGAGAAGGGAAGCGGAGGAGAGGAGAAAGATGTTCTGTCGCCCACCCCCCACCTCCATGCACATCAGGAGAAAGGGTGTCAAACTTGAGCAGACAAAGATCAAAGTCAGTGAATGGATAAGGCAGGAAGGACACCACTCAGAAAGCAGTTAGCACCCTCACCAATAAAGGAACCTTTATCAGTGAAGGTGCCAACCACTCCCTGAATGGCATCCTTCCTGCCCCACCCATCCACCGACCCTCACCCACTCAGGTCCAACACCCCCTCTCCCAACACTTCACGCACAGGTAGTGTGTAGGTTTCATAGTTGAAATCCCAGATTAGCCCCCACTTGTAATGCTGACAGGCAGAATTTAACCTGGGAGCTCTGGAGCTTAGTGCACAAGCCTCTACCACATGAGCTAAAAGCCAGCTCACTAGTAACAATGCTACACTCATTCTCTCCGTAAGTGGTCTCTGTGCTGTTCGATGAGAGAGTTCACCACACCCAGAGGATGTGCAAGTTACACTGACATTAAACTGTTTCAGATTGAGCTGGCTAAGCTTTAACAAGGGATGTAATAGTGTAATTGTTTAAACGGTTAACTAATAAGTATGAGTTTACTGTTACCATAATGGTTACATGCTGGTTTTTATCCCTGCTCCCAAGGTTGTGGGTTCTGATACAGAGCCTGCAGTGAGGGATGGCAGTCTGTTTCCTGGGAGCTGTGCAGGAGAGGAGAAAGATGTTCTGTCGCCCACCCCCCACCTCCATGCACATCAGGAGAAAGGGTGTCAAACTTGAGCAGACAAAGATCAAAGTCAGTGAATGGATAAGGCAGGAAGGACACCACTCAGAAAGCAGTTAGCACCCTCACCAATAAAGGAACCTTTATCAGTGAAGGTGCCAACCACTCCCTGAATGGCATCCTTCCTGCCCCACCCATCCACCGACCCTCACCCACTCAGGTCCAACACCCCCTCTCCCAACACTTCACGCACAGGTAGTGTGTAGGTTTCATAGTTGAAATCCCAGATTAGCCCCCACTTGTAATGCTGACAGGCAGAATTTAACCTGGGAGCTCTGGAGCTTAGTGCACAAGCCTCTACCACATGAGCTAAAAGCCAGCTCACTAGTAACAATGCTACACTCATTCTCTCCGTAAGTGGTCTCTGTGCTGTTCGATGAGAGAGTTCACCACACCCAGAGGATGTGCAAGTTACACTGACATTAAACTGTTTCAGATTGAGCTGGCTAAGCTTTAACAAGGGATGTAATAGTGTAATTGTTTAAACGGTTAACTAATAAGTATGAGTTTACTGTTACCATAATGGTTACATGCTGGTTTTTATCCCTGCTCCCAAGGTTGTGGGTTCTGATACAGAGCCTGCAGTGAGGGATGGCAGTCTGTTTCCTGGGAGCTGTGCCGGGAGCTGGCTGCCGCCCCACACTGCTAGATCTCAGGCATCAGCGAGGATCAGCAGCCAGCTCCCCAGGAGTGGGGCAGCAGACAAGAGCTAGTACACTCGGGGAGCTGGCTTTGCAGGCTCTGGAGTATAAAGCTTATTCCGCAGAGCCTGCAGTACATCTGGCTCCCCGGGAATGGGACCAGGAGCTGGCTCTTGGCACACACTGGCTGCCAGCCCCAGTTCCAGGGACCCAGCTGCACTGCAGACTCTGTATATAAGCTATTTACGGCCGAGCCCATGGTGTGTAAACATTCAGATTTTTTATGGTTACCTCACTAACCTCTTTTCAACATTCCTACCTTTAACCAGTTATTAAGAAAGATGAGCTGTTGTGACTGGTTAGGCAGCCATGTGCGGGATCACTCTTGTAGGCGAAGGCAATGTGTTCTAAGTGATTTGCTCTCATTAGGGCAGACCAGGTTGCAGAGGCATCTTCTTCCCTGTGTGATAGAGTATTTCAGATCACTCGATGTGCTCAAGCTAGCAATAATCCACGCTTCACTGAGGAGGGGCTGGTAGCAAGGAGACTTCAATGAAGGGTTTTTGTCTCTAGAACTAAGTTCCTCTATTGGTCCCCCAGAGCCTGGGTTTGTTGACCTTTAGGTCATCCCACAAGTTTGATTTCTGCAAGGCTTTCTGTGGGAAAGAGGTCTGAGTGGGTAGTTCTGGGTGATGTTAGAGTCCTAGTTAGGGAGGGATAGCTCAGTGGTTTGAGCATTGGCTTGCTAAACCCAGGGTTGTGAGTTCAATCCTTGAGGAGGCCATTTGGGGCAAAAATTGTCAGGGATGGTACTTGGTCCTGCTGTTAAGGCAGGGGACTAGACTCAATGACCTGACAAGGTCCCTTCCAGTTCTAGGAGATAGGCAATCTCCATTAATTTCAGTTTGAGTGAGGGTAAGAGGGCCATCCATGTACAGTAATTCCTCATTTAACATGTGCCCGCTGAACACATTTTCATGATAGCACAAACTTTTTTTGGGGGGGGAGGGGGGGACATTTTTTTGAATTACACGACCGTCCCCAGAATAACACGATTTCCCCAGCCGTCCCTTTGCCGGCTTCCCCCACCTCCCTGCAAAGTGGTGGAGGGTTCGCTGCTCGCCACACCGTTCCCCGGAGACACCTCACCAGATGCAGTGCGGGTCCTGGCAGACCCGTCACAGGGGTATACTCCCAACCCAATCCCCCTTCCCTCTCCTACCCTTCCCTTCCCCAGAGCCAAACACCTCCCCTCCCTGCTGTAACCCAGACCCCTTATGTCCCGGTCCCAACAGACACCACCGCTTGAAACACAACCCCCACCTTTTCCATTATTTTCAATGGGAAAATTGACCCCGCATAACACGTTTTCACTTAACACAATCATTTTCTGAAACATATCTATAGTGTTAAATGAGGAATTACTGTATTTTGGGCATTGTTTTAGTATGTTTATGATTCAGTGTTGTCTGAGTGCCCAGAGCTTGGGATGGGCCCCGGATTGAAACAGAGCAAAATAAATACAATGAGAACAGATGTCATGAAAGAGGGGAAAAAATAGGCTGAACATCAAGAGTAAAACCGTCTCTGGAAATGAGATGGCTTAATCAGTAGAAGGGTCTGTCTGTTAAGAGAAGTGGGGGAAACTATGTTCCAGGAGACATTGAAAACTAAAACTGGATAAATGCCAAAAGCATGTTATACAGGGAATCACCCTGCAATGGAAACTGACTCTCCATCTCTGACTTCCACGAGACAAACGAGTTGATTAATTTGTACTGACATCAGACATCAGGTGCAAAACCCAGGCAGATTAAAATGCAATTACTGAATTTTCTAATTTAGAGGCCTGGGGTTCAAAAGACCCGGGTTTCGTTCCTTCATCAGCCAGCAGGTTGACTTTGTACGCTGCTCTGTGCCTCAGTTTTCTCACTGGTAAAACTGAAATATTTCCTTGGGTCAAGTTGGTTAAAATCTACCAGGAAAAAGCTTTATGTAAGAGCCAAGTGTTATTGATAACTGTATTAGACAAAGCCCTGGAGACAGTTCTGTATAGTGCATTTCTAAACATGACCCCTGTAGGTGATGGGACAGAGATGGACTAAATGACCTTAATTGTAAGACTTTTACAGCTCAGTCTTCTTTCTGCCTGGATATGCGAGTGAACAGTGGTCAGAAATGCACCCTGTGGTTGAGTTGAATAGGCAAAGTGCCACAGGCTTTCTAATACAGCATGTTGTTTTCTTTCCCAGGTCAACATGGATTCGTGGTTCTTTGTCCTCTTGCTTGGAAGTGGCCTGACATGTCTAGGTGCAGACAACATTACCACAGGTGAGACATTGTCCATGGCTTCCTCTCCTTCCAGTTGTAAACAGTGGTTGGGATTGAACAAGGGGGTCTTCAAATCCTTAGTCACTTCCTCCCCTCTTTTACTTATCTGCCTTGAAGAAGTATCTGATAGGAATTGCAGATGATTCTCCAAACCTGATTCTGGGATGCATTAACAGGTGTGTTGTGAGCAAGACACCAGAAGTCATTCTTCCGCTCTACTCTGCGCTGGTTAGGCCTCAGTTGGAGTATTGTGTCCAGTTCTGGGCACTGCATTTCAAGAAAGATGTGGAGAAATTGGAGAGGGTCCAGAGAAGAGCAACGAGAATGATTAAAGGTCTAGAGACCATGACCTGTGAAGGAAGGCTGAAAGAATTGGGTTTATTTACTTTAGAAATGAGGAGATTGAGGGGGGACATGATAGCCGTTTTCAGGTATCTAAAAGGGTGTTATAAGGAGGAGGGAGAAAACTTGTTCATCTTGGCATCTGAGGATAGAACAAGAAGCAATGGGCTTAAACTGCAGCAAGGGAAGCTTAGGTTAGACATTAGGAAAAAATTCCTAACTGTCAGGGTGGTCAAACACGAATAAATTGCCCAGGGAGGTCGTGGAATTCCCATCAGCGGAGATATTTAAGAGTAGATTAGATAAATGTTACCAGGGATGTTCTAGACAGTATTTGGTCCTGCCATGAGGGCAGGGGACTGGACTCGATGACCTCTTGAGGTCCCTTCCAGTCCTAGTATTATGTGATTCTATGATAGTAGATGATCAGTATATGTCTGCTAGAAGAGGGTGCTGGGCCTGCAAACATCTAAGATCCTCACTTATTGTGTATGTTTTTAATGAGATATGCAGCAAGGCAGCAAAGGCAGGGGATAATATTAGTGTAAAACATCTGCTTTTATATTGCCTTTATCACTACAGCCATCTCTGTAATGTGGGATCGGGTTTTTTGCACTAATGTAGCTACAATAGTGAAAATGTCAAGTGTACATGCGAAGCAAGATGGAGCTTGCATTAGTGCAAGGTACCCTGTGGCCTGCTGGATAAGATACATAGGTACAGACCTCATTATGCACCAGTGTTGTGTTTTTATATTGGGGATTTGTATCCATGTAACACATCAGGGAAATTAAATTATGCAGATTTATGGAGGCTAAAACAAACCCTACATACAGCTTAACTAGTTTTTCTAGTAGTCCCACTGAAAAAGGCTTCCTTTTTGGACACTAGGTCTAGTACGGAGGTTGGCGAACTACGGCATGCGTGCCAATTTTGAGTGGCATGCGTGGCAGGAGCTTAGCCCCCGTTCTTCCCCAGCACCAGTTGGAGCCTTGTGGTAAACATGCAGCTGCCGGCTGGAGAACCAGCTCCGGTTCCTGCTGGAAGGGCAAGCAGGAGTGTGGGAGTGTAGGAGCCAGGGCATCCCAGCAAGCAGAGCAGGCAGCATGACTCCCGTATTGGGCTCTGTGTCCCTAGGGCTGTCCCTGCCCCTGCCCACCCGGGTGTGCGGCTTCCAGAAGCTAAGGGGTTAACATGCACACCCTCGCTACAGGCTCTGCTCTGGGAGTGGGTGGGGCTGGAGCTGCTCTGCAGATCTTGGGCTGGGCTGCTGCCTTCATGTGGTACCAGGGCCTGGCTGTGCCAAGCTCCCCCTCCCTTTCCTCTCCCCCCTCCCTTCCGCTATGGGGAGTGTGTGCAGGGATGAGGAGACCCTTCCCTAGTGCCCCGCTGCGCCCGTCTGGGCTGGAACCAGCTGCAGGCTATGCCTGCCCCAGTCGCAGAGCAGCAGCCTGATGGGATTAGGAGGGAAGTCTTTCCCCACAGTGTGCTGGCGAGAACCCTGAGGGATTCTGTGTCTTACCCTGAAGCATTTTTAGTGGGCGCATCCCACATGACCAAAACCCTGCAATTGTGGATGATGGGCATTTGTGCCTTTGTGTTCGCAATATCCCTTCCCTGAGCTCATCTTTTCCTCTGTTCAGACCTCCCTCAGTGCAAAATGAAACTGTATTTGGACTCTTCATTCAGTGCAAACGTTTGCTTTGTCAGATGAAAGCTGAGCTCAGCTACATTTTTAATACTGAAAACCTGCCTTTTAAATAATGTGTGTCTGAGAATGAATGGGAAGGATTGAGACAGTCACATATCTGTGGTTGCCCCAAACTAGTCCCAGTTCCCATTGAAGCTGCTGGAAAGACTCCCACGGATTTCAGTGGGAGCTGGATCAGACACCTACCAATCACTGAATGTCTGCAATGCAGGTGCAGGGCCTGATTCTCCTTTTGCACTAAAGTCAGTGGAGTGACACTGAAGTAAAGCCAGAGGAGAATCGGTTCCATTTGGTGTTCCCTAGCTGAGCTGCCCCAGTGCTGGGGAGTGAAAGGAATAAAAGGACATTGGAGATTGCCTTGTGCTTTGTTACTTCCAGTGCCACCGTCTACAGAGCACACCTCCACTGTGCATTCTGTGAAAGCCCTTACATCGAAGGCAGGTGGCGAAAAGATCACTAGTCCAAACAGCCTGAATGCTAGCTCTCCAACAACCGTACCTTCCGTGGTGTCAGCGCCTACGACTCTGCAAACCCCAGAACTCACCCAGGATGCCACTGGCGTCTCGCCAGTTACTGAAAACAGCACCATGAGGACAACTGTGCCTGTGCCTGCATCCACCTCTAGTCCACCCAGCACAACATCTTCCCTTTCACAAACAGCTTCTCAAGATGTAAAGACAGTGGCTGCAGTAGGGAGCATCACTATGGAAGTGACTTCTTCAGAAGCCATTGTCACTTCAGGTATGGCAAGGACACTTCATTTCTTCCCTTTCTTCACTTTGCTCCAGACCCCTCACCTCTTCAATATTTGGCTTTATTCTCCTTTCTTCAGTTTGCTGCAAACATTTGCAAATCAGAAGTAGAGATGTAAGCGACGAGTCGACTATCCGATAAGCAAATGCCTATCAGATAGTTGACTAGTCCCTCAACTAGTCACTTCCCCACCTCCCCTCCCCTTTCTGCCGCTATCAGAGGCAGCAAGGTGGGGGAAGGGAGGGAGCAGGAGCTGGTGCTGAGGGGAGATCGCTTAAAAGCCAGTTCCCCCCAGCACCATCTCCGTGGTGAGCGGGACGGAAACCGGAAATCTGGCTCATGCCCAGTTCCAGACAGTGGCCTCTGCTTTTTAAATGTATTAAGAATCTGCTGGCTCTTAATATATTTAAAAATCAAAAGTGCAGCAGGTGGGACCTGGCACGCGCCAGGAATCAGCTGTCCCTGCTCATGCTGGGTCCCCCCACTGCGCTCCAGCCTTTTAAATGTATTGAGAGCCTGCCAGCTCTTAATCTATGTAAAAGGCAGAGCTGCAGTGGGGTTAGCTGCTGGGGCTGGGCGCTAACCCCGCTGCGCTCCCCGCTTATTGACTAATCAACTAGTTGATGGAAAATCCATCGACTAGTCGATTAGGGATGTTAAATTTAGTTTAATCAGCTAATCAGAAGTAAATTTTTAAGGTCAGATCCCCAGTTGGTGTAAACTGGCCTTTCTTCATTGAAATGAATGGAGTAAAAGTGACTTACACTAGCCGATGGTCTGGCCCTTATTCTTAGAAAACAGAAACAAAATCCAGCCTGTACCCAGGGAAGAACAATAGGATGTGGTAGGGCACAGGATTTGGGTGCCAGGAGTCCTGACTTCTAGTCTCACTTCTGCCATAGGTTTTAGGCTAGTCACATTACCACTGGCTCTTTCCTCATGTCTAATGGGCTAATGATACCCAGTCCTCAGGGTTGAGAAGCACATATAAGCAGAAAAACAAAACAAAACCTCATTGAGATCCTGCTCAGTTTAATGGTCCAGAGAGCAGATATTGTCACCATGTCATTGTATTTTGATAATACCTACAGACCTTGAAGAGGGAACAGGGCCTCCTCATGCTGGCCATGATACTGGCATAGTCCTGGCCCCTAAGAGCCAGGATCTAGGTCACAGTTCTGAATGGGATCCAAAAAGGAATTGCTCAAGAAAGGGTTGAGGGCTCCTTAGCACTAAGCACTGGACAAGCAAATAGCACATCATCTTTTCAGGAGAGATTCTCTGTAATGCTGTAAGTTTAACTAAATGGCCATAGTGGTCCTTTCTGGTCCTAAACTCTACGATGTTATGAAATGGGGGAAGCCGTTCTGCCACACAGGAGGGTTTGAAGTAGGGATGTTAAATATCAGTTAATTGAATAGTCCAGCATTTCCCAAACTGTGGGCCGCAGCCTGGTACCGGGCCTCAGTATGGCTGCCGGGGTGTTTCGGCTCCCAAAGTGCCCGTGCGGTGTTGGATCCCCCAAGCCCTGAGCCGGGCTGGGCGGAGGATGCAGCCGGATGTTCCGGGCTCCCAGCAGAGGCATAGCGAGGGGGGGAGCAGAGGGAGGGCAGTTGCCCCTGGGTGCCATGCTAGGGGGGCGCTGGGCTGGGCTGGGCTGGGCTGCGGGGGGAAGAGGGGAAGGTGCAGGGTGCTGGGCTCATCTGGGCTACAGGAGGAGGGAGGTGCCGGGAACTCAGTGCTGTATCAGAGGCAGTAGCATGGGGTTGCCAGGCAGGAGCTGGTCTGCGAGGGGAGCCGGTTTAAAGAACAGCTCCCTTTGCGGACTGGCTGCCTGTCTCCCCATGCTACTGCCTCTGATACAGAGGCAGCAGCATGGGGTAGCAGCAGCCCCTGTCCAGGGGCTTGTTTAAGCTCCTGGACTTGGCACAAGCAGCAACTGAGCCGAGATGCCTGCCTGCCTGGCTCCTAATACACTTTAAATGCAGAGATGCAGCAGGGGTAGGTTCCAGAACTGGCGCAAGCCGGGACTGAGCTGGGCTGCTGGCTAGCCTGCTAAAAAAAAATTTACTGGCGGGGGGTGGGGAAAAATGCACGTAGTCTGTAGTATTAACCTATAGGCTTCTGCTTATCGGTTAATCAACTATACCAGGGATGGCCAATCCCTTTAACAAAGAGAGCCAAAACAGCAGCAGAAAAAATGCGAAGAGCTTCACCAGAATAGTCAAGCCCAAAAAAAAGGAGTCTGCCCCTTTAAGAAACAAGCTTAGGCCATATCAGACTCCCATCAATGTCTGCCATTTTGGGTGCCATTTTGAATCGCCACCCCGGTGAGCATGGGGAGATGGGGTGGTGCAGGAACGGCTTAGTGAGCCACACTTGAGGGAGAAGAGCTGCATGTGGCTTGCGAGCCACGAGTTCGCCACCCCTGCACTATACTATTACATCCCTAGTTTCACAGACTTTGTGATCCACAGTTGGAAGGGATTGAAATAACAAGCTCTGATGAAAGAAGTATGTGTTCAGTCACTGACACTTGTCATGGTTTCTTTTGATTTCTCTAGGTGGGCCAGCAGACGGCCAAGGTAAGCACTTACCCCTAGACACTCATTCTATATCCTAGGTCCTGACAGATCTTGACTGAGCCCTTGGTTCAATCATTCGTTATATTAAGGTACCGTAAATAAATATTTCACAAAGGGTTAGTAAATGATTGATAAATGTTATATGCATGTTGCAGACAAATAGCATATGATATCAAATGTTATCAGCACCTAAGAAGCGTTCATATATGTTCATAAGCTATGGGTATAAGCAACCTGTTAATTCAATAACAATCAAATAATAGTTTACTAAAACATCCAGCAGTTTATCAGCCCTTTGCAAACTATTTGTAAAAGGATTCCTATGGTAAAGTGTGAGCCTTGTTTACATGGTTGGTTCTACTTTTTCTGACCGAAGCTTCCCAGAAAGGAAGTGGAAGGAGATGGGGGTGGGGTTTTTCCCTAATATAAATGTTCAAAGATGCCAGCTTTGTAAAATCTGGAAGCTGAGAGAAAAGCACTTTTAAACTTCCAAAGCCATTTCTGTGTGTTCAAGTTTTTAACTTTGGGTGTGTCTAAACTACATGGTTCCGTCAACGGAGCCATGTAGAATAGGCAGGACAGCAAAGGGAAATGAAGCGGCAATTTAAATAATCACTGCTTCATTTAAATCAAAATGGCCGCCGTGCTGCGTAAAATCTGGAAGCTGAGAGAAAAGCACTTTTAAACTTCCAAAGCCATTTCTGTGTGTTCAAGTTTTTAACTTTGGGTGTGTCTAAACTACATGGTTCCGTCAACGGAGCCATGTAGAATAGGCAGGACAGCAAAGGGAAATGAAGCGGCAATTTAAATAATCACTGCTTCATTTAAATCAAAATGGCCGCCGTGCTGCGCCGATACAGATCCTTTAAATCGCCGCTTCATTTCCCTTTTTCGAGTACACTAATCTACATGGCTCCGTTGAACGGGGTAAAAATATTTTAAATAAATTAAATAATAAAATATTTGGCTCCTATGGAAGCAGTATCTGTTCAGTTTATCTCCTTTTCCACTCCTCACTTCCTCCAGCTCATGTGCATATCACAACGGTTTAAGGAAGACCATTTTTACATTGCTAGAGACTTGTCAAGACATCTTACAAAGAACGAAAAACACAGACAAGGATTACACAAGTTAGAGGCTGAGAGAGACGTATTAGGTTACGTCTGATTCAGCCCCTTGCCATTCCAGAGCTGTTCTTTACTGTGCTTTGTCTTACAATTGTGTGTCTTGGGGTTTAACCATTCCTGCAATTCTTGGATCCAGCATCTTTATTGGATCAGGTCCTCAGTTGATGTAAATTGGCATTGGCTCATTAGCGGCAGTGCTTAGGATCTGACCCACAGTCTTAGTCATGCAGATACATGCCCACTGTTCTCCGTTGCATTGGTTTAGAATTACACCCAGTGGGTAGCTATGTGCAGCTATATTCTGTAGGAGCTCTTGTCTCCTTCACTGAGCCTTTCGTGATTCAGAAATACCTCGTTTTACATAGCAGCATTTCCCATTTCAGAGTCTGCTCAGCCAGACAGTGATCTCTGGATTCATCTTCCTGTTTTGCAGCACTTACTGCTTCTTCCTCCACTAGGTAGAGCTAATAGGACAAGTACAGGATTCTCTCCTACAGGGGCCATATGATCAAATGTACTGAGAAACTGAGCGCCCAGTGTGAGATTGTGACAATAAAAGTGATCAAGATTCTGAGAGCTACAATCCAGCATTCATTAGAATCTAATAAAAAGCTTGAATTCCATTTGAAAATTATCTTTGTTATACTTCACTATTTACAGTGATTTCTTTGCCTTAAGAATTTCTTCTGTCTTGTGTACTAGTTTTACCCCTGTTCTATTTGACACTGCATATTACATTTTTATACAAAATAATCTTGAGTTCTTCTTGGTTTATTTTATAGCCATTGACACCTTTATCTGCCTATCCTTGAACCTGATGAGTTGTATGTTTCTAGGAATACCAACCACAAGTAGGCATGTGACTGGTTAACTGGTTAACCAGTAGACCTCACCCTTAACAGGTGAGGCTTACTGGTTCTGGTTAACTGGTGGACACTGGAGCAGCTCCCAGCCCAGATGGAGCAGTCCTGTCCAGGAGAGAAGAGGGTGCTCCAGCCTTGGTCACAGTGGGGGGCGGGTGCACTTCAACCTTGCCAGCCTGGAGTGTCATCCTTCCCAGTCTCCCTCCCTTTAATAGGTTAATGGGTTAATCATTACATTAACCCATTAACCAATTAAATGGGATTTTACATCCCTAACCCCAAGTGCTCAAAAATCATGTCAGGTCTCAAAAATGTTATAAGATCAGTTTAAATATTATGAGACTTTGGGGGGAAAAGTTGTGGTTGTTTTACTGACTTTCTGGTTTCTGAGACATTAGGACTTTCTCAAATCAGGCTGTAAAATGTTTCTCCACAAGCAGAAAGGCTATAAATGTCCTTTTTTTCTTTAAATGAAAGCTGTATTCATATAATCACAGCTCTCCAGGAGGCAGGGCGTTAAAAGAAAAATATTGTAAGGCTGACACTAAAATTATAAGTTGATTGTGTCACAATATTGTTCGGTCTCAATTTTCAGTACTCCTTCCTGGTGGTTCTTATAATATTTATTGCTCTGTGACTAAGGTGTTCATGTTTTGTTCTTTTTTGTTGTGCAGGTTTGGGCAGAAGAGGTGAGAAGTTCCGATCTTGTTGCCATGTTATGTCTGTATTATGTGTATTCCTCTGTTAAACGTGCCCAACTGTGGCTTGGGATTTTTTAATAATGTTTGAAAGCACTCTTGGGGCAGGATATTAAAGGTCTCTGGGGCCAGATTTTCAAGTACTCAGCACCTGTTATTGAACTCTATGAACTCCACTTCCATTTAGACACGTAAGTAAGATCCAGGTTTTCAGAAGTACTCGGCCACCCCACAGCTCCCTGTGTGACTATTCTGATCAGATGTTTGAAAGTGTTTGCTTCCTAAGGTGTTTGGGCTACGTAGAAAATCTGGCACCCATGGATGTGATTTTTCTATTGAAAACATTTCTTCAGTTGCGGTAGCTAACCTCTCTTGAAAACCTCCATAGAGTTGAGTGAATAATTTCTAAGTAAGGGAGAACAATGAGTAGTCCTGTGGAACTTAGAAACTAACAAATATATATAAAAATCATGAGGTTTTGTGGGCAAAACCCACTTCCTCAGATTCTCCCCTTCTTTTCTGCTTGGGAATTGCCTGTTAATCATGATTTCCCCTAATGTTTTCATTTTTTAAAAATGGCTTGCTGAATAATTCTAAGTTTTGTTCATGCCAGCAAATAATCCAAATTCCAGCTGTTTTGATTAGAATAAGTCACTTGGTTTAGTTCTTTTATGTGATTCATAGAATCATAGAATACTAGGACTGGAAGGGACCTCGAGAGGTCATCGAGTCCAGTCCCCTGCCCCCATGGCAGGACCAAATACTGTCTAGACCATCCCTGATAGACATTTATCTAACCTACTCTTCAATATCTCCACAGATGGAGATTCTACAACCTCCCTGGGCAATTTATTCCAGTGTTTGACTACCCTGACAGGAACTTTTTCCTAATGTCCAACCCTAAACCTCCCTTGTTGCAGTTTAAGCCCATTGCTTCTTGTTCTATCCTCAGAGGCCAAGATGAACAAATTTTCTCCCTCCTCCTTATCACACGCTTTTAGATACCTGAAAACGGCTATCATGTCCCCTCTCAATCTTCTCTTTTCTAAACTAAACAAACCCAATTTTTTCAGCCTTCCTTCATAGGTTATGTTCTCTAGACCTTTAATCATTTTTGTTGCTTTTCTCTGGACCCTCTCCAATTTCTCCACATCTTTCTTGAAATGCGGTGCCTAGAACTGGACACAATACTCCAACTGAGGCCTAACCAGCGCAGAGTAGAGCAGAAGAATGACTTCTCGTGTCTTGCTCACAACACAACTGTTAATGTATCCCAGAATCATGTTTGCTTTTTTTGCAACAGCATCACACTACTGACTCATATTCAGCTTGTTGTCCACTATAACTCCTAGATCCCTTTCTGCCATACTCCTTTCCAGACAGTTGCTTCCCATTCTGTATGTGTGAAACTGACTGTTCCTTCGTAAGTGGAGCACTTTGCATTTGTCTTTATTAAACTTTATTGGCTACGTCTAGATTGCAACCCTTTTTTGTAAAAGAGATGCAAATTATCGCAATTGCTAATGAAGTGGGGATTTAAATCTCCCATATTGAACAGAGCCAGTCCCAAAACAGATCCCTACGGAACCCCACTTGTTATGCCTTTCCAGCAGGATTGTGAACCATTAATAACTACTCTCTGAGTATGGTTATCCAGCCAGTTATGCACCCACCTTATAGTAGCCCCATCTAAGTTGTGTTTGCCTAGTTTATTGATAAGAGTATCATGCGAGACCGTATCAAACGCTTTACTAAAGTCTAAGTATACCACATCTACAACTTCTCCCTTATCCACAAGACTCATTATCCTATCAAAGAAAGCTGTCAGATTGGTTTGACATGATTTATTCTTTACAAATCCATGCTGGGTGTTCCCTATCACCTTGACGCCTTCCAAGTATTTACAGATGATTTCCTTAATTACTTGCTCCATTATCTTCCCTGGCACAGAAGTTAAACTAACTGGTCTGTAGTTTCCTGGGTTGTTCTTATTTCCCTTTTTATAAATGGGCACTATATTTCCCCTTTTCCAGTCTTCTGGAATCTCTCTTGTCTCCCATGATTTTCCAAAGATGATAGCTAGAGGCTCAGATACCTCCTCTATCAGCACCTTGAGTATTCTAGGATGCATTTCATCAGGACCTGGTGACTTGCAGACATCTAACTTTTCTAGGTGATTTTTAACTTGTTCTTTTTTTATTTCATCTTCTAAACCTACCCCCTTCCCACCAGCATTCACTGTGTTAGGCATTCCTTCAGACTTTCCGGTGAAGACCGAAACAAAGAAGTCATTAAGCATTTCTGCCATTTCCAAGTTTCCTGTTACTGTTTCTCCCTCCTCACTGACCAGTGGCCTACCCTGTCCTTGGTCTTCCTATTGCTTCTAATGTATTTATAAAAAAATACATTAGATTAGTTGACCTTAGCTTAGAGACTCAGGATTCCTGCTGGAACATAAGCAATTACAGATTAATTCAGAAATATAGGAATTGCTAGACCAATGGTCTCTCTCGTTTTGGTTTTCTAAACTTTGAAAATAGCTTTCTCCAGATATTTTAGCACTACATCGTATTCCAATTAACTTAGTTAGATTTGCAGTTCGCATGGTGATTTGTATGGTATAACTAGTTAAAGACTTCGTTTTTGCAAAAGTTCTTATCAATAAATCAGTTTGCTAGAATATTTTCAGAAAGTGAAAACAAAAGGGATATGGCCAAATGAATTCATTTTAAAATTTGGTTGTTCACCTATTGAAACTTTCTGCACAATTCCCATACCGCCTGTGTAACTTGTGTATTGTTCAGTGCCCTGTCACTCCTATGGATGCTGAAAGAAAAAATTACAAAAATTTGTTTTACTTTCCACCTCTGCTGCTATTTGTACTTTACTGTCGTGGACAATTAAACTAAGCCAGTCAATTTCACTTTTTGGTTCCTACGGATCAGCAAAGGGGTTAGCGTTTTCAGTAACACAAGGGGAATATTTAAACCAACACCCATATTTGTAGCATTGGGCTTTTTGTTTTACTTTACGTCTCATGAGAACACTTTATTCCCATTAGATACTACAAAACATTTTTATTTATTGAACCTAAATTTTTGTCATCTGTGAGGTTGCATTAGGGTACCTGAAAGCAGAATTTTTACCCTGTGAACCAGCTCTTCTGTTGCTGTAAATCACTCATCTGAAGAAAAGTCTCAGGGGCTTAGACATGTTAGTCTGTAACTTTAAAAATGAGTAATTTTGTAGCACCTTAGAGACTGACTAAAAATATATCTTGTATTGTGAGCTTTCGTGGGCAGAACCAACTTCTTCAGATGAAATGATCTTGAAAGCTTGTCTGAAGAAGTGGTTTTGTCCACAAAAGCTGATGGTACAAGATATATTGTTGTTAGTCACTAAGGTGCCACAGGACTATTCATTGTTTTTTAAAGTTGCAGACTAACATGTCTGCCATTCTGATGCTCCATTGAAGTTAGTTACATTGATGTACACCTGCTGCAGATCAGGCCTCATTTTTATTCTGATTTTATTTTTCTTTGTGTCTAAATATTCTAGATGTGGTGCCTGATCCTGCATTATATACTCATGCAGGAACTCCCATTGAACCGGATCTGATTTTTCTTATAGTGATGTGTACATTAAGTAACTTCATTGACTTCAGTGAATTTATGAAACTGTGAAACCTGACAGAGATTAATTGCAGGCTCATTGGCTGACTTCATCAGGACTGGTTGCTGCAGGATCAGACCTGTTATGAATAAAGAATCTTTGAAATTAAATTGGCATTTTCCTTTAACTCTAATGAGCATTGTGAGGAAACCTGACGAGTTTATAGGGAAGTGAAGACTTTGAGCAAATATAGTTTGTCTTCTTTTAAGTCAGGGAAAATGCCTACTGGGAGATATTTACATCTTTTTTCAGCTATTTA